TAAATGTTTATGGGTTGTTGAAAGGCATGCATGGTTATTGTAAGTAGGCACTTGTAGAAGACAGAGATCTTATAATCATCATTTGTGGCTTACACCAGGTTTTCTGGATATTTTTTTAGGCCAGGACATACAAGAGATCTTAGCTCTTATAGTTGAGCCTAATACAGGTCTCTGTCTGAAAACTTACAGAGCCATAAACATGAACATAGACAAGACACAGACATAGCCATAGACATAGCCATGATCATAGACAACACACAGACATAGACATAGACATGGACATAGCCATAGACATAGCCATAGACATACCCACAGCCATAGCCATACCCACAGCCATAGACATACCCACAGCCATAGCCATACCCACAGCCATAGCCATAGACATAGCCATGATCATAGCCATAGACATAGATGTAAACATAGCCATGGGAATAGCCATAGACAGAGACATAGCAATGGTCATAGCCATGGGCATAGCCATAGCCATAGCCATAGCCATAACCATAAACATAGCCATAGGCATAGGCATAGGCATAGACATAGACATAGCCGTAGACATGGACATAGCCATAGACATAGCCATAGGCATACCCCCAGCCATAGCCATAGACATAAACATAGCCATGGGCATAACCACAGACATAGACATAGATATAAACACAGGCATAGCTATAGCCATAGATACAGCCATGGATACGGATGACACGGACATGCATATGCTCATACCAGTAGTCCCTTGTCTTCCATGGATCTCATTCAAGCAAAAGAAATGTGGAAATGGAGTGCACTACTCACTAAGGGCACTCGTGTCACATTTCTGGCATCTCTCCACTGCCACTGCACAGTGGGTGTGCAGCATGGCGTCACAGTGTCCAGGATGCTGCTGGGAAGTAGTGGCTCTCGCACTTCACGATGGCCCACCACAACTTGCCCTGGATTCTGTAAGCCACATTTGGTATTGTTGACACCTCACTGGTTCATGTTGTGGGAAGAATGAAGAAATTTATGTAATCGTGCTGAAGAAAGACTCGGGCATCCCCCACGTTTGAGTTTCAGGCCATTTTCTCCTAGGTGTGTTGCTCTCATATCTGGATGTAAGTCACTGATGCGCAGATCCATCCCTTTGCACACATTTAGCTCACACTTTCCCCGATTCTGTCACAATCTCCAAATTGGCCAGTCTTGGACTATGACCTGGGATGGTCAGCCTTTTGGAACTCATAGCTGGACTGAACATTACAACTTTTAAAGGAGCTCTTCATGATGACTTCACTGATAGTGTTAATAAGACAAATTCTTATGATTCATTTCCTTAGTATTTTATGCCTTATGTTTTTGTCACCAGTTTAAATAATTATTTACAATAATTTAGTGGGGCATTATGCTGAGAGAGACTTCTCACCCTGGATTCCCTTCCCTCCCAGGGAATCAAGTTCCAGTTGTATCATCTCTCTGTCTGCTGTCACCTCCCATGCAGAGTGACTGGACTGCTGACTTTACAGCAGCAATCAGAGAAGAAAAATGTCTCTTATCACAGTGAGACAGCCACGAAGGCCTGTGATCGTGTGACGCATGATTCCAGATATGAAACCCTCTGCTTTGGTCAGAATACCCCCCTCAACCCAGGTTCAGCAGCTTGGGATACCTTGGTGTGAGTTTGGCTTTGCTTTCTGATCATAAGGAGCAGAAGAAAGAGGGGACAGTAAATGACTGATGGAGGGGGAAAGCGAGATAAGGTGGAAGAGAACAGCATGGGTCACGAAGGTAACAAAGGAAGAACAGCAGCAGGAGACACGCGGATCCTTGAGGAGGTTGTGTGTGAGACTCTTGAGGTATTTGTAAGGTTCTGGAAGACCCTGAGGCCGAAGCAGCCCAACTCCCACCAGTCGGACAACCGAGGTGAGTAGGAAACCACGCACATGAGGGTAGAACTTCCCAGAAACAACAGCAGCACACCAGGGGCGTGAGCACTGCTCTCCCGACCCCGTTCACTCCAGGAACAAGTGCCTACGGAGAGCATCCTCAACCTCGGCACTTCTGACATTTTGGGGCGGATAGATCTTGGTTGTGGGAGACAGTCCTGGGCATCATAGGATAGTGAGGAACATCCGTGGTCTCCTCCCTTCAGAAGCCAGTAACCTCCTTCCCAGTTGTGACAACTGAAAGTGCCTACGGACTTTGCCAGGTGTTAATCACCCCCTTCTCCAGGTGACAGACGCTGGCCTACAGGACAGGGCGGGCAGCAGGAGATAGATATGGGAAAGGAATTAGTATAATTCTCCTCCGTCTCACCACTGTGTGGGGACGCCTGGCAGCGGGGGAAAGACGCTATCTCAGCAGGAGCTCATGTGAACCTGGCTGTGACAGCTCCCCTCCCAGCTCCTCGCCCCGCCCCCACCCAACCACACACATTCTTTCCTCTTCCCCAGTCTGTTCCAGGAGCCGTGTGAGTCGTCCAGATCAAATGCAGTCGCCTGTGACAATCGCCCCTTTGGGTCCATGTGCAGGGGGAGGGGCTGGCCTGGCCTGCCGTGAAAGGCTCCTTTCGGTGCTCTGTGATCTCTCTAGGTGTGCAGATTGCAAAACCCAGGTACAGACAAAGAGCTCACACAATGGGCACACTCATTAGCAAACCCTTTGAAGTGTGCACACAAGGCCACGCAGACGCCTCCTCCTTTTCCTTTCTGTCTCCCTCTCTTTTCCCATCCTTCATTCCAGATGCCAGGGGTGGGAACTGGCAATGCAGTGGAAGCCGAGGCAGAAGTCGGGAAAGAAATGAGTCTTCCGAGGGGATGTGGAGAAGGCCCAGGCTTCCTCTTCTCACTGGGCAAAGTGCCCAGGGGCAGCCTGCATTGTCACCTGGGCTCTGGGCTTCTGAGAATGGACCTCACATTGCCGTGGGGACAGTTAGGTCTCCCTGAGAGGGAGCAGAGACACAGGCCAGATGGAACGAGCGGCCTGTGACATAAGCTATGGCCTGAAGTGTGCTGGAGGAAAACAGCTCTCTCTCTTCCAGCCTTCTTTATAACACTTGGGTGAGAAAAGTCTGCTTCAAGTGCGCGGCGCCTACCTTTCCCTTCGCACTCAGCAAGGCCCTGCTGCAGGCCAGGCCCGGCTCACACCTCGGGGATGTCAGCTTCGTGCTGTTGCTCTGAGAAAGAGAACGGTGTAAACTTACATTTTGATATTGAATAAATGCAAAGAGGCTGCTTCTTCAACCTTACCTTATTTAACACGGGAAGGCAGGTAGTTACTTGAAAAGAGGTGGGACCAGCATGAGAACAAGTAAACCTCAGGAATTCTGTCATCATCTGGAGGAGAGCAGTGAAGAGCAGTATTTCTAAAGTAACACTACAACAGCTTTGAAAGTCAAACGTAAGGTATGCGGCATCGCAGAGCTGCATGACACAAATCGTCACATCTAGGCGGATCCCTCTTCACGAAGCTCTGCCGGAGGCCCCATGTGCAGGTCTTTATTCCTTGCACTTTGCACAGAGGATTTTTTGCCAGAGAGAAACCAGGCCCTTCAGCAACACTGTTTCTAATGCGTATGTTGTGCTTGAGAGGAGGGGCCGGCAGGGAGGCTGTGGGGTAGGTGACTCATTTGGGGTGCAGAAAGGCACTGCCATGTCTGAAAGCAGATGACTCCAGCCCAGGGTGTCCTCAGCTGGCCTCTTGGAGGTAGTGAGTGCTGCACAGGTGCTGAGCCCACCTGAAGCCTTGGTAGCTCCAGGAGATGCACCCCCACCCAGGTAAGCACAGAGCTTTGGCATGCTGGTCCACGACCCTCCTGGAGCTGCTGGGGACCCCGTGTTAGTTCTGCATGCTCTCTTTATACCCCACGATGCCCCATCCTTTAGATAATGTGGTCTGTCTTTATTACAAATGATTAGAGGTTTACTGCTGAGAAATTTTGGGAAATATAGAGAAGAAAAACAAAACAAAAGAAAGTCACCTGTAACCCCACACTGTTATGCAGAGAGTATATTATTGTTAACATCTTGTCTATATTCATCCAGTTTTGTTCTTTGCAAGATGTCAACTTTTTAAAGAAAAGCTATTTACTACTTTCCATAAGTAATTTCCCCTAATTATTGTACTTTTCAGAGGTGTTGCACCTGTGATACGTGAGTGTGGTCTTGGAGCAATGGTTCTCCAACTTCAACACGCACATACCCACCTTGGGAGTTTTTAAAAATACTGATGCCTGGGTCTGATCCCAGAGATCCTCCCCCCCCTTATTTGAAATTTCGTTTTGGGTGTGGCCTGGAAATCTGGATATTTAAAATCTCCCCAGATAATTACATTGTGCAACCCAGGTGGAAAATCTACTCCTGGGTCTTGCTACTAATGCCATTTTATGGGTAAGCACCAGCCTGTGGATAGCCTCAACCTTCCTCTGTCTTCCTTCAGGCCCCACAGTTGCTCCCTGCAGCCGTGAAAGCCTGCCTCCCCCTGCTCTGCCCACAGTGTGCCACTTCCACCACGTGAGAACCACACACAACCACAAACCGTGGCCACTGGAGGGCTTTCTGCAATTTACTGGTAGCTACATAGGCTCAAGGGTGGAGCTACCAACATAAAGAATTAAAATGTAGGCTGCCCCTGGCATCTGTTCCTGTCATCTCCAAGAGGCCAGTAAAGCATAAGGAAACTGGAGGGAGGGGTGTCTCTTCAGCACCGAGGCGTCTGAGGGCATCTAATTTCTCTGAAGCGGATAAGAAGAGATGCGTATTACTTACTGACCTATTCCAAACGTGAGGTCTATGGTGAAGCTCGCCTGCTATTTGTAATCAGCAAATGCTAATCCTGAAAGCAGGAGTATTAAAAGCCTCCTGGCAGCGTGTGTCTGTGTGTGTGTTAAAATAAGGTGAAGATTTCTTTTTTTTTTTTTTTTTTCTTTTGTCTTTTTCTGTGTCCGGCAATGGATCGCAACCCTCAGTGTTGCCCCCGCACCGGACCGGGGACCGGCAACGGGATCGCAACCCTTGGTGCTGCCCCCGCGCCTCGCTCAGCCAGTGAGTGGGAACCGGTCTGCATGTGGGATCCGAACCCTCGGGCGGGAGCGCCGCCGCACCTCCCAAGCGGCACACTATCCAGTGCGCCACTGGGCCGGCCCAGGTGAAGATTTCTTTAGCAGGATACCTTTTCTACCTTTCCTGTTTGTCTGAGGCATGTGGACACCTTCAACGAGCCCATGATTATCACGATGGCATATGTGCGTCTTAGAAATATGCTTTGCAATATTTTTATACCCCTCTGTGTATCCTAAAGGCCCTTTATGTACAGGTCTGAATAACACCACTAGAACAGGTTTGAAGACAGATCCTATTTACCTGTCGCAGTGTACACTAGGTTCCTCCTGCCTCACCTGCCATGGGCGTGAGTCCTTGGCACACCAGGCCCAGCACCTCCTCAGCCCTCACCTAGCCGGGGACCCTGACTCCACCCGACTGGCTGCCTCCAGAGTGGCCTCCTTGACCCTGACCCTGCCAGCCACCTCCTTAGCCCTGCTCTGCCTTCCTTCTTGGCCTCCTCCAATACATACCTTATTCATCAAAATAATGAAAAAATGGAAGCAATCGGAAGGGCAGAAATTTTAACTTGAACACTATTGCTATGCTTCTGGAATATTTTCTATCTACTTTGTGTTTATCAAAAGTATACAGAAAAAAAGTTGTGGTCGGATCTGGAGGGTAAGAGGGTTCAGGTGGGT